GCTCTTCCCGGGTGAAGCACATCAGTTGCCGGCTTCTGGACGGCCGCTCACGCTGGCTGCTGGCCCATGGCAACCCACTGCAGCAGGGGCTGCAGCCTACGCCGTTGCCGGCGACTCACGGCAGCCCAGCTCCATGTTGAGCTGTTGTTCAGCATCCTAGCTGAAGAGGGCGCAGCGTCACTGGCCCTCATGTGGGATCCAAACCGGGGCCCTCTGGCATCCCAAGCCAGTTCTTAACCATCGCGCCACTCGGCCGGCCCTAAAAAGGAACTTTTGCATGTAAAAACCAACTATAAACAAAGTAAAAAAAAAAGTGACAAATTGAGAATTATCAAATGAATAATATAGAAAGGGCAAATTTCGTTAATATGTAGAGTGCTTACGATGCAATAAGAAACTCGATGGTAAAAACAGCCCAAGGGCAAGGTCAGTTTGCAAAGAAACACAAGTGGATTGTGAAGAATGAGAAGCTGCTGACCTCACTCATAAAGCGATGAAATGAAAACGAGCACTTCCGTCTGACTCAGCAGAGTAGGCGTCTGGCACTGCCCCCCAAGGGGAGGGGCTGGGAGGCTCTGGCGGTGCCCGGAGGGGCCCTCCGTGGAAAGGTCTTGCATCACATTTGAAAGCTTCCACACCTTGTGACCCAGCGCTTCCCCAGCCAGGGCCCATTCTGCAGACTCAGGGGCCTGTGTGCCCAGACCAGGATGCACGAGGATGCGGTGCGGCGGGCTGTCATGGGACCCGTGGCTGAGTCGGGTGCCACCGAGCGGCAGGGCCCTGCGTGTGGCTGCCCGAGGACGCCTGCATGTGGTTTGTGCTGCAGGCATTTGTCGAGTGGACGACGGTGGTCGTTATAATGAGGCAGGTCCCTAAGTGCTGACGTGGCACCGTCTCGAAGGTGAACACATGCGACAAAGTGCAGAGCTGCACATAACAGCAGGCAGCACTGTGAGGACAGCTGTGTGGGCGAGTGCAGACCCGACCTGCACACGCACGTCCGGGGGGCACCTGGGGGCCGCCTCTCACGCTCTGCTCTGCAGCCTCGGCCCAGGCCCACCTCCCAGCTCCCGCCCGCCAGTGGCCTCCTGCCTCCTGCACCAGCCCGCCCAGCTCCCTTTATAAAAAGGAACACTTAGGAGTCCCAGTTTTGTTTTGGCAAATCAGCAGAACTGTGAATGGACTCTGAGTGGGAGGCAGCTGTGCAGGGCCTTCTTTGTACGGGGACGTGACACATGGATACGCTTACACAAAACGCAGGCCGGGCAGCACCTTCTGTGCCATCGGGCACTGCCCAGGGCTGTGCTCTATGGCGAGACCCTGCATTTCATCAGGAGGCTGAAGCCTGCAGGGGGGTCGGAAGGCTCACTGGGGGCTTGGGGAGTCAGCAGGGGACATGGTGGTGAACTTTATTTTTTTTAAACGTTTTTTAGCATTTATTTGATGCTGAATTTACTCCTGGACCATAAGTTTTTGTTTCTTCCGTTTCTTCTGGGAGGTCTTTTTCCTCTGCAGCCTCCTCTTCTGGTTTAGGAGCAATCGGCTCTTTCTCAATGAGGACCCCCTTAGTGTGGCAGGGGTGGGGGTGGGGGTCCTGTGTGGGTTAACCCCACCCACAAGCGCTGTAAGTTCCGCACTGCATCTTGGGAGCTTTGTCCACCTGCCTGTGCTCAGTGATCAGAGTCTGTATCTAAACCCTTACGCTCAGCATCGCTCTCTGCAAATTCAAGCCTGTGCAGTAAAAATTCTGCACTCGTTTTGGGCCTCTGACCTGCGTCCAGCCCCATGTTTGGCCTGGGCACACCTCCCACCTCTACCACCATGACGACGGAATGGCACACATTGCTTTTGTAATGTGACATCTTTCAGAAACTGTTTTTCGGATATGCATCCCCTTGATGGCCTGGGCAGCTTCACAAGTGTTCTTAAAATGAACATGTAGATTTCAACCGCTCGATTTACATGATTTTGTGGGGTTCTCTGGGTCAAGTGAATAGCGAACCATTTTAAGAGGTCACCTCAGGCCGCTCATGGGAAGAGGAAGGGCCGCGGTGAGCTCCTGAGAACACCCAGATGCTAACGGCTCAGTCCTCGGGCCATCGGCCTGCCCCACTGTGCCGGAGCTGAGAGGACCGTGCACCGTGCCCCAGAGAGTGGTGTCGGAGCGGGCGGGCAGCAGGTGACCCAACCGCTGTCCACACATCACCGTGTTAGTCCAACGACAGACGACAAGCAGTCACAACACTCAGGAGCCACACAAGGAAGAAACCGGTCACAGTGGCTAGCTAGAAAAGGTGTTTTCCTCTCATTTTATTTGATAATACATTTTCACAGAAACATGATATTATTTACAAATATACAGGTAAGAGACTGCTGGTCAAAAATCTTAAGCTGAAAATGTCATCTAAAATTAATTTACAAAAACCACCAATTGCTCAAGGTAGTTCCAGGGGAGGATCTGGATGGTGCCCTGCGAGGGTCCCTGCAGTCAAGCTTCTCGGCCCGCCCGGCCCGGCCCCACGGCCTGCTGACGCCGGCCGCCACGTCTCAGGAGGCACTGGTCTGCATGTTTTTGGAAGCTGCGAGCATCGCTCTGACTTTGGCCATGAGGTCCTGTGCAAGGACAGACACGGGGTTTCTGTGAGCTCCCGCTGGGACTCGGGCAAGCGTGTGTGGCACAGGGTTCCATGCCAGACCTCCCCACGCCGGACCCGCCATAGGCTCCCAGGTTCCGGGACCAGCAGGCCCAGGGCGCCGCCGACACTGCTGGCCCTCTGGGTGACCAGCCCAGGGCGCCCGTCAGTATCGATGAGGTGACACAGGATGTGGAAACTGGCTCTTCATAAAAAGAGGAGAGAGACCCTGTCTTACCTGGGTTATCTTGCTCTGGACAGAAGAGACAATTGCTGAGGAGATCTGACCGTCTTTTTCCTGAGAAACTCCCCTAATACAGAGAGAGAGAGTTCAGAGGCCTAAAAATACTTCAAAACATTACAACCAAGAGTGACCGTGATTCCAACCGACACTCCTGACCCGGCCCAGGCCTGGGGGCGCGGGCGGCTGAGCTCTGGTCCCTGAGGTGGGATGGTCTGGCACGTGCCTCCTGACAACCTCGGGAGGCCAGTCGATGGAGAGCCACCCTCGCAAGCATGGGGACACCTGCATCTATGTTGCTGACCAGGCTGACTGTCTGACAATCAGGGTGGCCATGGACGTCACCGCGGCTTGTTCAGTCAGGAAGTTTGACAGTCCAGCCGCTGCCTTTTGAGGCTTAGAGTGAATGGACCCCCAGTGCCTGCACCTTGCTGGGGGCCTCTCCCACCCCAGGGCACAGTTGGGGGTGTGAGAACTGCTGTCACACTGGTGAAAAGAGGGAGTCCGCCGCGGCATCTGTGGAATGAAGGCGGCCTGCGGAGAACCCCAGAGGGCCCAGGCCGTTATGACTGCCTCTGCCCATGGGAAGGAGGGGGCCTGTTTCCGGTCGGGGCTCCCCAGGCCTGGCCGTGTCCCGAGCACCCCAGTATCCGCCCTCTGCCTCCTGATGCCCGAGTAACTGCGGAGGAGGACGCGGAGAGCGGGGCGCGGGGCCCCGGCGGTCAGGCTGACCTGGAGCGCTCCTGGCTGGAGCCCCGACTCTCCATGGGAGAGATGCTGGCCGAGTGCCGGTGCGCCGCCTGCTTGCTCGGGGACACCGGCCGCGACCCGGCCTTGGGCTTGGTTCGCGACCGGGAGCGCCTCTTCTTCTTCTTCTCGTGCGGGCTTCTGGAAGGAAAGCGGGGTCAGGCAGAGGCGCAGCGCCGGCCCCGGGGGTCCGGTGCTTTCCACGGCAGGGTCCCAGACACCTTCCCTCCTCGCCAAAGCTGTACACACTCTAACTCGTAACTGACAAAAGTGGCAAGTAAGAGTCACGCAGCAGTAAATGGACATGGCCGTCTCTGCAGGATGGTTCTAAACCAAGGGGCTTAGCACACGACCAGCACTTCGTATTTAAAATACCCAAGAAGGGCCGGCCGAGTGGCACGATGGTTAAGAGCTGGCTTGGGACGCCAGAGGGCCCCGGTTCGGATCCCACATATGAGGGCCAGTGACACTGCCACAACTAGACTGAAGAACAAAACAACAGCAACTTGTCTGTTCCCCTTCCCCCAATTCCCCAGCGCTGTTCCTCTCCCCCAATTCCCCAATAAAATCTTTAAAAAAATCACAACAAAAAGTTATAAAATACCCAAGAAAAGTGCCCGCGTGCTGTCCATTCCTGCTGACCCCAGGGTGCCAGCACGTCACCTGGTTTGGGCCCCGCTCTCCCACCGGCCTCCACAGCCCCCTCACGGAGGGGCCCCGCTCTGATTGCTGGCCACGCCTCCCCCTATGACACATCACCAAGGCCTGACAACTCCACACCGGAAGTGTCTCCAGCCCCTTCTCCCGTACAGACCTGGACGGCACTGGCCTCAGCTCGCCTCTCCTGCCTGGGCAACCCGACCCTCAGCTTCTCCGCTCCAGACACCGAGCTCCACCCCACCCACCTTCAGCCCTCCCCCCACTCCCCTAGCAAACCCAAACCAGAACGAGGAGACAGGTGAGCGCTAAGAGCCACGTGTGGCCCCGACAAGCACTGAGCCCTCCTGCTCTCTGCCCCTCCAGGCTCCTGCTGAGAGCGGACAACTTCCTCTCCGCCTTTCAGGGATGCCACCCGCCACCCACCACGGGGCTGCAGCTGCTGGTCTGCAGGGCTATGTCATCGTTTATTAATCCCGGTTTCTCCGCTTTGCTGTTCTCTCCCCCCGGCTGTGTCTTGCTGCGTCATGCTGCAGGATGATCCCCTGGACGTGTCCCCTGAGCCAGGGGACAGGAAGTGCACTCTGGAAGACACCATCAGATCCCTCCCTGGTTTGCCCACACCCTCCAATGTGCTGACGTGAAGGCTGGGTGGCAGGTCTTCCTACCTGCACCTGCGTTTCTGTTACTGCTCTAAATACAGACGTCCCGGGTTACCCGCTGCACAGCTCAGAGTCCTCAGCCCTGTTCACGTGCCCACTGACCCCCAGGCCAGCTCACCTGTCACCTGGGTGTGGATCCCGGCCCCGCACCCCCCAGGGCAGCTCCTGTGCCCCCTGCGGCCTGCAGAGGGTGGGCTCCCCGCCGGGCGCTGCACTCACTGCCCATCCCCAGCACCCCCTCACTGCCTGGGGCCGGGGGTGGACACCTCTCACGGTCCGCTAACCACCCTCTGGCAGGGATGGCCCTGGATAGCTGACGGGGCCCTGGTGTTTCAGCCCAGCTCCCTGGCACTGTCCCCGGGCACAGGCAGAGCGCTGGCACCAGCACAGCACTCCAGCACGCCAGGCACGGGCTTCCCAGCTCTGCCTGACTAACAAGAGGGTTTGGCAGACGTGGTGGCAGCTTGGCAACTGATACTCAGCTGCGGGAAGCGGCGCCTCTGGTGAGCTGGGGCCTAACGCGCAGCCCATCAACCCCGGATCCGAGGGTGTGGGAACTGCATCAACAGGCCTGGGCCCTAAACCACCAAAGAGCTGGGCAATTTCTATGTCTGGGAAGATGCACTAGTGTTTCATGGAGAGCAGCAAATCAATGATTCAGTAGCAGGTGACGTAGCCCAAAATGATTCAAGCCCTAACCTAAGTGTCTGGGGCTGCCTACATGAATTAATTAAAGGCAGGTTACATCCTTAACTGTACATCAGGTTCAATTTTAGTACAACTTGATCTCATGTGACAAAACTGTCTAAGTATGCAACTAAAATGCTTAGAAATGCTACTAGGAATGCTGCTTAGAAATGCTAAGCACGCTAAGTGACTAATGGTGGGAGTGTCTGCAGTGTGGAGACGCTGGCAAAGGCCCGGTTCTCGTCCCGGGCGGGATGGCGTGAGGTTCCACCACGGTGCTCAGAATGCTGCTGAACTTCAAACCTCCAATAGGAACATCCCATCACTCCAGAAGGTTCCCTCGCTGCTGCCTGCAGTCACTGAGCCCCTTCCCTGCCCTCACAGGTGGCCACTACTCTGACTTCTACGACAAAACTCCGTATAAATTGGAACCACGCACTATTACTCGTCTGCGTCTGGCTTCTCTGCTCAGCACCACATCTCTGAGCCTCTTCTCAACGTTGGCCGAATCACTGATCTGTTCTTTTCGCTGCGGAGCCGTGTCACGTTGTGTGAATCTAGCCTGTTTGTTCACGCTTTCTCCTGTTAGCAGACACTCAGGTTGTGTCCAGTTCTTGGCAATTACAAATCAAGCTGCTTCTATGGCCAAATGTTTCTGTGGGTAAGTCCCCAGGGCTGGCACAGCTGGGTCACAGGCAAGATGAGTTCGCTTGGACGGTCCCCAAGTGGTCTGACCGTTGTACACCCCTGCCAGCCACGTCTCGGCGGTCCAGCCAACACTTAGTAATGTCTGTCCAGTTTGCTTTCAGCCCTTTGCGTCAGAGTAACATGGCACCTCGCTGTGGCTTTACCTGCATCTCCCTGGGAGGCGACGGATGCTGCCAGCACCTTTCACTCCGTTTCCATCGGCCAATTAGGTGCATTCTTTCATCAAGTCTCTTTCCAGCCACCTACCCCCTTTTAATCAGGTTACTGCACATGTTCTTCCCAGGCTGGACAGGCCTAGTCACTTTCTTAACTGCCTTTTGAGTAAAGTTTTACATTTCAACGAAGTCATACTTGTTATTTTTTCTCTATGGTGGGGTTTTCTCCGTCCTCAGGAATCTTTGCCAAATGGTGTCCTAGCCCATTCTTTTAGCTTTCTCCAAAGAGCTGATAGTTCCAGCTCCCACACTGAGGTCTTTGATCCATCTTGTGAGGAGGGCAGGCTGCTATCTCTATCCGATGCCCGCGGTGCTGAAAACTTCCTCACTAAACTGCTCTGGCATCGTTGTCTTTTGAAGGCGCACGACGCTGTCGTCTTATTGTGGCTTTGCAGGAAGTCCTGAATCGGGAGGGAAAGCCCCCCACTTCCTTCTTTCTCTGGGTTGTTCAGGCCCGTCTGGGTCCTTAGCATTAGCACACAGGTGACAGATGCCAGCTTGCCAATTTCTACAAGAAGCCCGTGGGGATGGCGACTGGGACAGCACGGGGTCTGCAGACCAAGCCTCCAATCCACCCACCATGCTGACGCTCTCTCCATTTATTTCAGTTTCTGAAAATTTTTCTTGGAAACATTTTGTGGTTTTCAGTGTAGAGAGGTCTTGCACATATTTCTTTCCATTTATCCCTGAGTCATTTGTTGTTTTGATACCGTTATGAATGGTATTGTTTTTAACTTCATTTTTTTCAGTTGTTTTAGGTTAGTATAGAGAAACTTAAGAGATTCCTTAAGATTTTACATACTTATGTAAAAAGACAGTTTACTTTTTCCTTTCCAATTTTATGCTATTTCTTTTTTGCCTCACTGTCTCGGCTGTGAATTCTGTTACCGAGCAGACGGCCCCGTTTGCCTTGTTTCTGATCTCGGGGAAAAGCATTCAGTCTTTCACCACTGAGCGCGGTGTGAGCTGTGGGGTTTTCAAATACGCCCTTTATTAGATGGAGGAAGGCTCCTTCTATTCCCCTTTGCCAAGAGATTCCCCCATTTGTCCTTCTAATGAGTGAGTGGTGAATTGTTTTCCTGCATCTACTGGGATGTCACACTATTTTCTCCATGTATGCTGTGAATACAGCGAATTATAATGACGGGTTTTTGAATGCCAAAAAGCCTTCATGTCTGAGGCAAACCCCACTTGGTCAGGACATCCTGTCCTATTGCTGGACTCAAACCAGCTAATGTTTCGTTAAGGATTTTTGCATCTATGATCTTGAGAGAATCGGTCTGTGGATGTATATGTGTGCACACGCATGTACATTGTACCACACACGTGCACACGCCTGCTCACACGCCCTGCACACTGCTCACGAAGCGAGCTGGGAAGTGTTCTCGCCTCTATTTTCCTCCAAGTGTCTATAAAACTGCTGTCCCATCTCTCTTGAATGGTGCTAGAATTTACAGATGAAAGCCATCTGGGCCTGGAGGGTTGTGGGAAGCGTTTAAATTATAAATAAATCCAATTTCTTTAGCAGGTATGGAGCTGTTCAGAGCTCTACTGCTCTCAGTTTGCTGCTTCTTTCAAGGAATTTGTCCATTTCACCTAAGTTGTCAAGTTAACTGGATAGGTTTATTTCCATCAGCCTTTAATGTCTGTGGGCTCTGCATTCTTGGTCAATCTAAATAAAGACTTTTTGATCATTTTCAAAGAACCATCTTTTGGTTTTACTATTTTCCTCTGTCAGTCTGTTTTCTGCTGATTTCTGATCCGATCTTTATTATTTCCTTGCTTCTACTTACTTTGGGTTTAATTCATTCTCTTTCTAGCTTCTTACGGTAGAAGACTAGCTCCTTGTTTTCAGACCTTTTTTCTTTTCTAATATAAACATTTGAAGCTACTAACTTCCTTCTAAGCACAGCTCCCCCACAGATTTGAATATGTTACATTTTCATTATCATTCATTTCAAAATATTTTCTACTTTCTCTTGTGATTTCTTCTTCAACCCATGGATAATTAAGACATGTTGACTTGCAAATACTTGGGGATTTTCCAGGTATCTTTTCATAGACTGCTACACTCACTGCCACGAAGGGAGGGAACACGCCCTGTACCAGCTGACTCTTGTGGAACTCACCGAGACATTTACCGGCACCGGCTCGCTCTGGCTCGGGGACAGGTGCCCGTGCATGTGACGAACGCACATTCTTCAGCTGTGGGTTCAGCCAGTTCACAGCTGCTCACATTTTCGGTATCCACGCTGTGTTGTGCTGCCTGTTCCTTCAGTGCTGACTTTTTGCTTCAAACACGTTGAAGTTCTTTTACCCAATGCGCACATCTAGAAACCACATCCTCATGAAGGACGGACCCCTCTGTCATCATGAGGCGGCCCTCCTGTTCTCTAGCATGCCTCGTCTACACGGCCCCGCTAGGGGAGCTCTTGCCAGTGGCCTTCTCATGAGGACACATGGCAGCTGCATGTTTATATTTACAGTGTCTCATGAGCAGCTAGCTTCAGGTTTTGCTGTTTGCCGCAGTCTAGAGTCGCTGCCTTCCAACATAATTACGTGAACAGGCAGTGCGAAGCCCGCGCGGGTCTCCAGTTCCCTGAGCGAGCGTTCTCTTGCCTCCCCTCCTGCTGTTCTGCCCTCTTTTGAATTATACAGCATTTTTACGGTTCTATTTTACATCCTCCGTTGGCTTCTTAGCCATTTCTGTAGAGGTTACTCTAGGGAACCCTGACACGCATCCTTCAGAGATCAAAGTCGGTTGTGAAGGCATGAGCTGTGGGACAACTGTGTGCTGCCATCCCTCACTCCGCAAACACGGCGCGGTGTGCCGAGCGCAGGGCAGAGCAGTAGGGATTCCATGGCCAACTCCAGACGCATCACCTATGTTTACTGTGATGGAATAACCAGGATACCCTGCTGACACGTGCTGTCCTACGGTTAGGCCTAACAGTCTTATGAATTTTACTCTTCAAAAATACTCAAATATGCCCAGATCTTGATTTGCAAACAGTCACTGGGGAGCCGGGTTTGCTGGAGAAAAGACCGATCCAGGGGTGGAGGTGGGGCAGGGCCGGCTGAGGCCAGGACATCTTGTGCCCAAAGAACAGCGGGGCCCAACGTGACACCACGTCACTGTCAGACACAATAATAACGGCAATGACTGTTGCACAACAAGTAAAAACTCCCCCCATGCCCCGAAGTCCACAGTGATGCTAAAACAGGACGTTGTCCTCTTTGGAGAAGGAAGGGCAGGATTAGAAAGCCCCGACCAGGCCAGGTGACACAGTGTCAGGGATGCTAAGATGACAAGAGGAAGCTGCTGGCAGCGGGACAGTCACACCGTATTCACTGTACTGTGTTTCAACAGTTAAGTTAGAAAACCCCAAAGTCAGTGAGTGAAAGCAGCCTGCAGTGATCCGCCCACAGAAACAGTCCTCAGGCTTGGCAGAAGGCGCCTCCCCTTGGTCGGGGTGGTCCCACGGGATTAAAGTGGCTGGCGGAGGAACGCGTTACCCACCCCCCGTAAAGCAGAGGCTGGCGGCTTGCTGACTGCTGCTGGGCACAGGCCAGAGGGTCTGGTCTGTCATCCAGGCCACACGGTGGCCGTGGCTGCATGCGGTTCCGGCACTGGGTCCCCAACGCAGCCGTTCACAGCCCCGCCCAGCCTCCCTGCTGTGACCCACACGTCAGAACAGGCAGCTCACAATGCAGGAAATAACATCTTCACTGCTTTTGTGCGACTTTTTCATGTTCCCGAGACAAGCAGGTCCTGACGATTTAATGGGGTTGTGTCTCCTCTCACGACGTCTCTTTTAGCACAAAGGTGCATTTGAGGGCAAAGCAAGAACCCTTGTTAGGAGAGATCTTTTGCTCCAAGGAATTAATTTTAGGCCATGCCCTTTACATATACAAGGTGATCATGAATTTCAAATGTTACACATGACTTATTTCAGGAATGAAATTTAGAAAGGACTCCACTTTTCCTATTACACTGGAATGGTCATGTGTACTTAGTGGAAAATCAGTAGGGCCCAGGATGTAATTCATAAACAGACAGCGAGTTTGCACATGAGGCCTTTGCTGAGACCTCTCAGCTTTACAGCTTATTTGCCGATTTTTCTGTTTTGAGAAAAAGAGACCACATTTTACCAATTAATGGAGCTATCACGTGACCAGCCAGACTGCGGGAACATTTTCCATTAGACACGCCTGTCAGAACTGCTCCTGCTCAAATGACAAAGGGGCAGCTCTGAGCTGCTGCCCTTGCGTCTCTGTGGACGGGTGGGACTCCCCACAGGCAGTTCAGGATCCGTCCTTTGGAAGGCGAGGCACGGAGGGTCCTCACCCACCCTCGGCAGCACAGTGTTAGGAAACCGAGACCACGAGGCACGGCTGCATCCTGCCCTTCCTGGGCACCTCGGTCACCAGTTCCATGATGCTCCCTGTCACCAGCAGAGCTGGGGGCTGCGCCAACTCCCATGTGAGGACACGAAAACAAGAACCCCTCATTTTGGGGATAACAACAACACACAAGCCAAGGGATGGAAAGCATTTAGGTGGCACCAGCCACACTGGACAAGACGGTCCCAGACAGCACCCCTCGGCCTTGATGGCACTAACAGAAGCCACGCCCACTGCCACGCTCTCCGGCTCGGGCTCCCGACAGGCCCCAGAGGCACAGATGGCCCAACCTGTCTGCTCACGTTTGCGGTGGTCCCGGGGTTCCAGTGAGAGGTCAGCCCCGCCGCACCCTGGAGTCTGGCCCCGGGGGCGGGGCCCGGAGAGCTTGCTCACTGGGTGTCAGAGGCCTGGACCAGGTGCAATGGCTGCGGCTTCTACTTACTTATCAGACATGGGGGCCCACCTCCCTCGCTCTCATCACCTAAGACAGGTCTCTCCTCGTGGTCGAGGAGTCAGGGGACAGACGCTCTCCCTGCTCTCAGGCCCCACAGGACTCTGTGGCCCTGCACAGGAGCTGCAGCCACGGCCTGATCACAGCTACCCCTGGGATTTACTTGAGACTTTAGTTTCCGATTTTCCTTGTCATTGTCTCCACACCTCCTTTCCCTGTCCACAGGTAAAGGGTAAGTGTCTATCTGGGTCCAGAGAGGCAGCTGGACTTGGGGACTGGCCCACGGCACGGATCTCAGCGCGGGAGAGCTCCGAGCTGGGTCCAGTGGCAATGAAGAGCTGCAAAGGGCGCCCGGCGTTTGCCGACACCGTTTCCCCGACGACCTCCATGCAGCCTGTTTTAGAAACGGGGCCAAGCGCCAAAATACCCTCCACATGGACGCCTACCTGGACCGGGTCCGCTTCCTGCTGACCCCAGGGCTGTTGCTCATCCGGTAGGCAGTGGGGACACTTCTTTCTTCCCTCCGTCTCTCGGGAGAGTGAGCTCTTCTCCGAGGGGACCGTGACCGTGACCTGGGCGGAGGAAGACAGGCGTTTTAGTCTTGCTGGCTGGCGGACGGATGGCACCTCTCTTGCCGAGGCAGCGATCAGACCCAGGCTCAGTATGCAGCTGACAGGCACCGCATCTGCCCTTTGGGTGGCCTGCCCCCTGGCCTCACCACTCTGCCCACACAGAACCGCGTCTGCTCAGAATCAGACACTTCTCGCTCCCACCCCAGAGCGCCTGCCGCACCGACGCTCAACTTGAACCAGTGCACAGCTCCTCTGAGCCCAAGCTGTGTTGCTGATCCGAATGGTCACAGCAGCCACATCTCCACAACTCCAGGTCTAACAGCTATCAGACTCACGAGCTGACAGCTGGCTCACACCTGCTGCTTCTCCCTGCCTCTTACCTTTGACCTTTTTATGACCCTGAAGAATCTTCAGGTCACGAATATTTCTATCAAAATCAGGTAAAGAAAGGCAATGAAACCCAAGTGAGTGGTTTCTACGTGTTCTGATACTGGCTCCAGAAGACACTGAAACGCAGTGAAGCCACAGGACCATTTCTCTTGCTCACGCGACCTCTGGCCCCGGAGCACGAATAACCGCGAACAGGCTGCAGGCCTCTTGACATGAAGTCCAAAGCGCCAGTGCAGCTCACACATGCCGTTCTCGGGGTGGTTCAGGCTAAGTAACTGAAGCTGATGACACTTCTCGAATGCAAAGCATCCATTAATATTTTATGCTTCTTCCCACGTGCCTGGAAAAAGATTCATCCTGTTCCTGCAGTGACACAGCCACATGGCGACCAAGCCCACGGATGGCCAGTACCCAGAAGCCCAACCCGAGACCCCCCACCCACAGTGGGCCGAGGTCCTTAGCAGGGGGTCCCTTAATGATGGCTTTAGGGTTCTTATTTCAGTTTGTTGTTCATTCAGTGAAATTACTGTTTTGGGAAGACCTGCAATAAGCAGAAATATGGAAAAAAAACTTTTTGTTGTGTTTCTATGACAACCCACTCAAAAACAATATAAAGGTCAGTTTGATTTTGCCATTAAAAAAATTCTACACTGAATCATTTTAATCACAATAAAACACACAAAAAAACCAATACAGGGCCGGCCTAGTGGCTCAGTTGGTTAAGAGCTCATGCAAGAATGCAAGCTCTGAGCAACAGCGGTTCGATGCCCGGCCTGAGCTGACTTGCCAACAGGTGGCAGGATGGCTCAGCTAAAAAAACAAACAAACAACAAAAAAACAATACATACTGTTATTCCAAAGACAGCTTATAATCACACTCCACCCTCCTGTGTCACAGAGAGAACTGGAGTCATCCCCAGGAAAATGTCACAGCCACGGAATGCACCTGCCCCGGGCAGACTGTCACTGGCCTTAGGGTCTCCATTCTCTAGCACGGCTGCTCTTCAGCTTATCAAATGGCCATCAGCCCTGCCCACCTTTCCTAAGATTTATACAGCAGATCACAAAGGTGAGGTCAGCCAGACACCTTGACATTTTACCAGGTGTTCCCTCAAAAGAGCTCCAGGACTCGAATCTGTCCCTGGTCAAAGCTGCCGGCAGCTGCCTCACTCGGCGGCTGGGCCACTGACCAGCTGCTCTGACAGGGCTCCACGCTCAGTGTCCCTGGGGTGGCTGTGCGGCTGTGATTTGGACGCACACACTTCACCTTCAGAATAAAATGTGCCGGGCTGAGTGCGACCAGAACCCTGAAAAAAGCTCCGCTTAATCAGAGCTACAGCACCTATGGAACGCTTCACCATTATTCTACAATAAACTCAATAATCAGGAACGATAACTTAGTTTTTAATGCCTGCAAATTCATAACTCTGAAATATGCCATTTGGAGTGGCTGTTACTGATTTCCAGTTATCTGGGGAGAAGCCCATCTCCGAATTGGGGCAGTAAGCTCCGTCAGGTAATACTTAGGTTCTGTTTTATTAAAGAAGCCCTAAGGTTTCCATTCTGTTGGTTAGGCTCACACTACAGCCACCGCGTGGCAGCGCAGCAAACGGGAACCCCACGATGTACGGAAGCCACCTGCACAATGGGAACAGGGGCTGTCCCACACAGACGGCAGATCACCTGATTGACGACTTCTCAAGTATAAAGTAACGCGGATATTTTTTTCTTGAATTATTGTAACGGTTTACTTTCAAATAAAGGCATACTCAGACTTTTATCTGAATGACTGTACCACTTAAAAAGCCTCTTCACCCACACTTAGCCCCTTCAGCTTCTGTGAGTTCCTGCAACTTCAGGACTCGAAGGTCTTTTCATAACAAAACAAACGGCAGAGGTGATCCGGGGCACCGACCAGCCTGAGCAGCCAAGAGCCTCCCAGTTCCAGTTCAGTTTAGGCTGTGGACCAAACTCGACCTAAGAACCGCCTGAACTTCCTATGGGGGCCGCTGTCTCCTGTGTGCTATCAGTGCAGATGGCCCGGGTTCTCGGAACAGAGACCAGCTGGCCACATCAGCATGCTGAACGTCACCCTGTGGGACCAGCAGGCACCCCAATCCCTCCTTTAAAAAACAGGACCAGGAGATTAAATCAATTACCTTCACTGGCTTGCTGTACAGTTTATCGCAGGCAAAAAAGGAAAGAGTCACAAATTTCAAACTAAAATATGGCCCCAAGTTTGCCTGCCTGTGTCCTTTTTGAATGTTACCGTATTTGCCAGCGTATAAGACGATTTTTTGGCCCTGAAAAATATGCCTCCAAGTGGGGGGTCGTCTTATACGCCAGGTACACTTCAGATAGACT